GAATCAGACACTGCATTTCCCACTGACACACTAAAAGTTCTGCCAACCAGGTAAGAGGTGAACCATTTTAAGAGGTGTGTGTTTGTTAAGAGGTTAAATCTTGGTGTGTTTGTTTTTCAGTATCATTAGCATCACAAGATTTGTTTAGTTTACACGTCCGTAATGCGCACACCCCATTTTTGTGAACCACCAATAACCTTTACAAGTGGCAGTAGAAGAATCAATCAAATTTCGTGAAGACAAGCGACCTGAGAGCGCGATTCGCAACGCTGCGATCGCTATCGCGTCCCGTGTGTCGGGTTTCACCCTGGCTGCGATGACAGCCGTTAATCGCTGTAGTTTGTCGCTGCCCGTGTGTCGAGCCCTTAAGACTGTTTATTTAGTTTATGTGTACCGAAGAAATTGTCAAAAATTGACCCTACCAGGTAGCCAAAACATACACACACACATATGTTCACACTCACACACTAAAACCAACTGTAATTTTGACTGCATGAATTTTCCATCAGACTACAGTTTTTAGTTGGTAGCAATCGGCTGTGATGAGACCTTCTGTCTGCTGCTCTGTTCAAACACTAAATCTAACACATAACTTATCTTCACATCATTTAAACTTCTTCAGATCAATGACACTTTGTTCTTTTCACAGTAGATACGTGCTCCTCATCAAGCAGCACTTACTGGAGTTGTTGCGTTTCACAGAAGTGCCCCCATTCATCCCATTGACTCCATTCTTCTTGAGCTGATTCTTTGGCTCCACCTTCTGTTTTGATCCAAATCCACTGCTCGTAGCTCCCTTCTTTCCTTTCAGCTGTGTGTAAAAGAACAGACAGGAATGGAATTGTTTCAATAACTTTTGACAGCAGAGCCGTTAAAGGAATGGTTGAATAATTTTGCAAATAATTTGTATTGAAACACTACCCTGTCCACCTGGATTTGCTGCAGTTGGTCAGGTCTAGGTTCAGCAACAGTATGTGCTCAAAAAATGAGGTCAGCTGACCTGAATATACTGAATGACCAGGGGTCGGATTTATAAAACTTGTGTATGCACAAAACAAGCCCAGAAACTTGCGTACGCCACTTTTCACGCCAAGGTTGTGATTTATAAACTCAAACTTGACGTGAAAATGTGCGGTGCCTCAGCCAGCTCTGACTCATGTGTACGCTCATTTTGAAGACGTGAAACTGTGACACAGATGGTGAAGTGAGGAATTAGAGCCACACTGCATCATGGTGATCACGCTAGTATCTAATTGTACTTCATAATCAAACTTAGATTTTAGATCGACTTTAGCTTTCTTAACATTATTATTCATGCTTCTGCTGCTGAGCCATGAGGACCTTTAAAATAAAAAACTTAAATCTTAAATAAAAGTTCATGCAACTCCATCCGTCTCCTTCCTCCTCAGACAACCCTGACCCACAGACAAAGAGACATTTCAACAGCACGACATCAAAAGTCACACTTTGGGTATCGCACAGGGCACGCCCACCCTCGCCAGTGTGGATGTTATAAAAGGTTCACTTTTTAAAGTCCGTATTTCTCACACAAGCAGGGCTGTGGGGACGTGAGGGGGTGAGGAGACGGTCAGCTGCAGATAACAGAGCAGGTAGGAGGGGGGGAAGAGTGGTGAACTTTTGTCTAACTTGATCTGACTTTAATTTTATTTATTGTTTTTATCGTCCTGCAGGCTCTGAGAGAAAATAAATTTGAAGCTGAGTTTTTGATAAAAATCATTAGATTACTCTAAATGTCTGTAAACCTGCAAAATGAGGGAAAATCTGTGTCAGTTACAGACACTCTGTTCACGTGAGCAGCTGTCAGTCAGCACCTGTCATCCTCCAGACGCACGACGGAGCGTGTCTGAACCAATCACTTTTTATGACATTGATCAGCTGACTGATTTAAATACATCTTAACATTCATGAGGTACTTTACATTGACTGTTTATGGTTGAATGTGGGCGTGCAGAGCAGAGATTCTTAACCTATGGGCCGCGGCCCACAAGCGCCACCTTGAGGGCCTCAGAACAACAGTTCTATTTCGTGTAAGCTCCGCCCTCTAAGGCTATCGCAGATGGGTACCCCCGTGCGCGTACGCGCATTCTGAAGACCAATAGTCCACGCCCACGTGACGTGGGCCTCACCTCGGTCCGTATAAAAGGGGAGGACGGACCTGAGTTCAGCTCCCCTTTTTTCTTCAGCTTCGGCATTCTGCATGTACCATAGAAGACGCCTATAGGAGCCATTTGTAGCTCTGGGT